GTGACCCTGAAGTTGTATTTGGGCTCTGATGTTAAGAGGAAAGTTGTAAAATAGTATTTATTTTGTATAATCATTTTTGCCCAATCAGTCCCCTGTCCTATAGATTAAAATTATCACATGATTATATATATCTTTGTCAGCAATATGACCAATAAGAAAAAAGTCATAAAATGGTTCAGATTTTGTTTGGTATGTTTTGTATAAATTAATTCATAAATTCTCTGTTTCTCTAAATTTTTGTTTGACCAACACACAATAGCAAAATGGGGTTTTTGGGACAAAAAGCCCATGGCGCTATTCGTGTGTCTAGCCCCTGAAAGCCAAATAGCTAACAGTTTTTTTAGCCGCACTCGAAAGTGGCGAAATTTATTTTTTAGGCTTCATTTTTGGTTCGATTTTTTTTGTACGCAGCCAATTTTTAATTTTTAGCCGCACTCGAAAGTGGCGAAATTTATTTTTTAGGCCTCATTTTGGTTCGATTTTTTATTTACATATCAGAAAACGCCTGCAGAGGCTATAGATTTCTCAATTATCTAACTATCTTTTTAGCCGTTTTTATTGTCTCCAAAGCTTAAAAAGCTATGCAAACTAAAAAATATAACCAAAATGCGGCCATTTTTTATTTTTAGGCCACATTTTTGTCCTAAAAAATCTAACCAAAAAAAAACTAACGAAATTTTATACTACCATTAAAAAAGGGCTATCCTGGTCTATAAAGCCAATTAGCATAGCAATTATAAAAAATCTAACTGAAAAATTCGAAATGATATATTTTTTCTGAAAAAATTGTCCTTGGAAAAGAATGGATAAAAACAGCTCAGAGCAAGTTCCTGATAAACGAAATTTATTTATTAGTACGTAATCTATGATAGTATTGAGCAACGTAAAACCCTCGGATATGTAAAGGACATCGGCCAGATATAGAACCTGTAGGCTTGCCACAATTAGAGCATGGAAAACGATTTTTGAATTTATAGTGAAAACGGCACCCTTCAGGACGCATACAAGATTTTCCGCAAATGGCACCGGAATTATGGAGATAGGGACAAGAATATTCTCCGATCATTTTTTGAAATATAGAATTATTTATTTAAAGTAAAAAGTTTTTAATATATAAGTAAAATAAATCGA